TGGAGCCTGCTTCTCCCTCTGCCTGTCTCTGCCCCTCTCTCTCTCTCTCTCTCTCTCTCTGTGACTATCATAAATAAATAAATACAAAAAAATATATAAATTTAAAATACATTGAAATTTTTCTTCTTCTCAAGCCAAGGAATAAATGAAATTATCTAGAAATACTGCCTATCAATCAATTTACTTATAGAACTAGTTCAGAAGCATTTTCCAGGCAACAGGAAATCTCTCAATTTGACAGGAAAAAAAAATGAGAAAGGGAAGCTGAAAGAAGCATCATTTGACAATGAGTACATTCTATTAGGCAGCCCATGAACTATTATAATTACATGCTATTATGCAGTGGCTTATGTTATGAAATACCCCAAAATCCAAAAGCTTACAAGTTGAAAACATATTATTTAGTGGTGCAGAACAACAATGTGGGCCTTGAGCTGTGCCACCCAGTGCAAGAGCCAATAGCCCTACATGACTACTGAGCACTTGAAATGTGGTCAGTCCAAAGGAGATGTGCTGCTACATGTAAAATACACATGAAACTCCAAAGACTTACTATGGAGGAAAAAAGCAAAATATCTCTATCAATAATTTTACATGAAATTATAATCGTATAATTATATGTGAAATTATAATCTTTTATATGAAAATTATAATCATATAATTAATCGTGAAATTATAATCTTTTCATATATTATGTTACAAAATACACTACTAAAATTAGTTGTACCCCCTTTTTACTTCATTTAATATACCTACTGGAAAAATCACTTATATGACTCCCATTGTAACTGTATTGAACAGCACTGGTCTAAAGAAAGAAGATAACAGGAAAAGAGAAAAGTTATGCAAGTATACAATCATGGTAATTGTGATCAGACTCCATCAAAAGAGTATGTTCCAATATTTAGGTTTTACAAAACGCACATACACGTAACACAGGCATGGCCGTGTTTCCTAGCTCAGACATCAGAACAAACCCTATATTACTATGCTACACTATCAGCTCTGCAGCATGCACTCTGATGGAGGGGAGCAGGTGCCAAAACCTAAATAACCTAATTTCTCACACTCACAGCACTGGAAAGAGGGAGGGAGCCAGATGTGAGAAAGGCCAAAGAGTAAACCCACTTGCTAACAAGGCTAGCTGAAAGGTCCTAAGGGGAGCCAGGGCAGGGGGAGTCTGCCCTGCAAGCTCAGAACCAGCACAAGAAACCTAAATAAAACTAACAGGGTTGGGGCAGCCCCGGTGGCCCAACGGTTTAGCGCCGCCTGCAGCCCAGAGTGTGATCCTGGAGACCCTGGATCCAGTCCCACATCAGGCTCTCTGCATGGAGCCTGCTTCTCCCTCTGCCTGTGTCTCTGCCTCTGCCTCTCTCTCTCTCTCTCTCTCTCTCTCTCTGTCTCTATGAATAAATAAAATCTTAAAAAAAAATAAAATAAAACTAACAGGGTCCATCCAAAGGGTTCAAAACCAGAGGGCCCTTGTAACTACTGAGTTGCAAGTTCTGACTTTATATGGCAAACCTAAAGCCAAATAATACCTGTTTGGTTTTTTTTAATTATTAGAAGGAATGGGACAAATTTATTGATTAGATTTTTCCATACCAAAGAGAAAGCCAGCCAAGGACTTAGGCAATTTATCAACAGTTGGTCTTAATTCAACACTAACACATTGATTTTATAACGCACCCCACTGAAAAGGCCAACACTCTTCTAATATGCTTGGAGTCCCTTCATAGTAACTGTTCCATAGTAACCGTCTTCCTTCCTTACCTTCTTATGTAAGCTCCCTGATCATCATCAGCGTTCACATAGGTTTTTGAAAGTACCCACTTTTTCCAGTAAATATTTAATTCTCTTGTTGCTACCAAACTATCAACAATGAATTTTATATAACATGTTTAGTTATGAGAAAGTGGGGCACTGATGTCAACAGCAGTCTGTAAACCAAAAACACCAGAATTACCACACAGAGCCTCTCGGAAGTCAGCCACCAATAAAACATGGTTCCGCACAGCTCCGAGTCTTTAATCCAGTTTCTATCTGAATCCTTCCATGTCTATGGATCAACTTATAAAATGTGCCTGAATCAGAACCGGCCACATAGTCTACAGGCTCCTGGCACTGTTCTCAGCTATGAATGCCCAGACAGTGAACTATCATGTGTATGCTCTCGATAACATACTAACCAGCAAGCCTTTGCTTTTCCCAGCTTTGTAAGCTAAATATTTAGGACCTGTAGAGGAAAAAAAAAGGGGGGGGGGGGGAGATAAACCAACCATTTGGCTAGTTTCATGAGCCGCCACAAATCTCAGCACTGATGGAAATGGATTACATGTAAAGCCACCTGCCATCTCAATGGACTGGGACAGTAAATGAATTTGAGAGAAATGATAATTATTAAACTGTGCATGAACAATTGGGAGAAAGGAACTCACAAGGGCCAGAAATAGTCAGAAATTAATTTGGGAAAGTGGAGTTTGGATGTCAGCCTTGGAGGAGAGAGAGTCCTGAGCGGTAGGCCACCATGGAAACCAAGTATGGGGAATCTCTAGGCCATGCAAACAGCTTAGCCACAGCACACCAGAGGAGGTGGAAGACAAAAACACCTTGCAGGGTCAAAGGAGTCTCAAAAATCCAACATTAATGAAACACAGCTTTATGAAACATGAGTTTTTGGGCAGGTGAGGAAAACAAAGAGTCTACTGCTAAAAAAAATTTCAAGATGGAAAGTTAAGAAGCTACTGTGTTAACCAAGTATGAGGATCTTGGCAACTGGGATGGTAGAAGGGACAAAGGGAGAGATCTGAAAGGGGGGGGAAGATTTGGTGTCAAAGAGGACTTCTAAAAAAAGAACAAGAGTATCTCCTTTAAATAAGAAAAGGGGCTTGACTAGGTAAGTAATGAACAAAGTTTTTGGACATGCTGAAATTGAGCTGGGAGTGGCATTAACACTTGACTGAGCCCACTGAAGGCCAGAGATTTGAGACAGAAGCTCTATGCACAAACAGAAGCTCTATGCACAAATAGAGCAGAGAAAGGGATGTGTGGACCAAAATAGAAAGACAGTAACAAACTCTAAGACCTGAGAGACCATGTATTTTGCAGGTATCCAGAGACAGAACAGTCTTCCCCTCACCTTCCTCATGGTTAATAAACATTACTTTTAAGAATGTATTAAACATAATGATAACAGCTTAAGAAAAAAAAACTGCATAGAAAACAAAAAGTGAAAGAAATCCACAAATGTTCACGGTGGCGTCATTAGGTGGTAGGATCAAGATTCTTCCTCCTAAATTCTTGGAATTTCCTGTTTGTTTTAAATAGCAAGTACAGACTTTCTACTAGAAAATGGAAAAAGGGGGATCCCTGAGTGGCTCAGTGGTTTAGCGTCTGCCTTCGGCCCAGGGTGTGATCCTGGAGTCCCGGGATCGAGTCCTGCATGGAGCCTGCTTCTCCCTCTCTCTCTCATGAATAAGTAAATTAAACCTTTAAATGAAAATGAAAATGAAAAAAAAATTTTAAGAAGTGCCTGGGTGGCTCAGTCAGTTTAGTATCTGCCTTCGGCTCAGGTCAAGATCCCAGGATACTAGGATGAAACCCCACATCCGGCTCCCTGCTCAGCGGGAAGCCTGCTTCTCCCTCTCACTCTGCCTGCTATTCCCCCAGCTTATGTTCCCTGTCAAATAAATAAAATCTTTAAAAAAAAAAAAAAAAAACTTTTAAAAATGATCCCCTTTCAGCATCTGTGAAAACTCTCATAACTGTAAATTTTAATGTAAATTAAAAGTAAATAAATAAAAGTACCACTGACATAACATTCTACACCCACTATACTGAATAAATTTAGTTTTGACAAGACAACCTGTTTGAGAGACTTTATTAGTAGGAGTATAAATTCTTGCAGCTTCCCTACAGGACAATATGTCATAATTTTAAAACTAAAAATTGGGCACCTAGGTGCCTCAATTGGTTAAGCATCTGCCTTGGGCTCAGGTCATGATCCCAGGGTCCTAGGATAGAGTCCCAAATCAGGTTCTCTGTTCCAAGGGTAGCCTGCTTCTCCCTCTATCCCTCCCCTCTGCTTGTGCTCTCATGCGAACTCACTCTCTCAAATAAAATCTTAAAAAAAAAAAAAAAAAATCTTAAGCACTGTACCCAACAATTTTATTGCTAGAAATTTACTTATGGGTATTCTCCCTAAAATAAGTATAAGAAATTTCACTGAAGTATTATTTGTAACAGCAAAAAATTTAAAATAACCAAAATGGGCAGCCCCTGTGGTGCGGCGGTTTAGCGCTGCCTGCAGCCTAGGGTGTGATCCTGGAGACCCGGAATTGAGTCCCACATCGCAATCGCGCTCCCTGCATGGAGCCTGCTTCTCCCTCTGCCTGTGTCTCTGCCTCCCCCCCACCCCACCCCCGTCTCTATGAATAAGTAAAATCTTTAAAAAATAATAATAATAAAGGATTACCTACCTACCCACCTTTTAAAAAAATAAAAAATACAATAAAATAACCAAAATGCCCCTCAAGCTTTGGGATGGGGGAAGGGAGGAATGCAATGTAATAATCTCACTACTTAAACTGCAGAATGCTTGAAAAAGAGGGAAGAGGTCTTTAATCTTAACCCCCAGGGTTCAGACCTGGGACCCAGACAAGGAGCCTCAACTGGCAATAGGTACTCAAATTTTTACTGATAATGTCAAAAGCATAAAAAGGAAAAGGAAAATATTTACTTCCTACCTTATCACTACCCCTAAGTGGCAAGACTTTGTCTATTTTCTACTGTAATCTGCTTACAAGGAATTTGGCCTAAAGCAGTCCATTACCTTATCATTAGCATTAATGGAACAATTAATTATTCCCAGGATTGCATTTAGACTGTTCGTGACATGTGCAAAGGGCAAGGTCAAGCACAAATGAATTCTAACACTAAAAGGCTGTCAGCACAACTGCATCACAAAATGCAGAACAAAAAAGGCTGGGTTTCAGACGCACCTAAATGCTGGGCCGTGGACCTGTCCATATGCTTTCCGTTACAATCCGCTGAGCTACATTTCCTCGTGCTGCTGAGGTCCAAGCTTGAAACCACAGGGGGGTCCCGGTTAGCAGAGTCAAGACCTAGCTAAAGAAAAACAGATGGTAAATAAAAACAGTAATAATAAACCTACCAGAAGGCTCTCCACATGAATGGAGTCTACTTCTCACTCAGCTGTGCCCAATCCTAGAACTTGCTCTGTTACGCCTTCATTCTTGAGGAGCATCTAGGAGGCCCCAGCCAGCTCCTGGGCAGGATCACAAATGGGACCTTCATTCATTCCCTTCAAAATTGACTCTTAATTTGCACTGAATGCTTTGTAAAATGGTATTTTAGAATGCCTGGAAACAGCAATTTCGTACTTAGTTGGGGTTTCCTCCTTGATAATTTCCAAACTCCATATTCTCTAGCATAAGATCTTTATATTAAAAATTTTTTAAAGATTTTGTTTATTCATGGGGGGGGGGGGCCGGCAGGCTCCATGGAGGAAGTCCAATGCGGGACTCGATCCCGGGACTCCAGGATCATGCCCTGGGCCAAAGGCAGGTGCTAAACCACTGAGCCACCCAGGGATCCCCTAAAATTTTCTTTTGCGTAATTCTCTAGTGCTCACTATGTGCCAGGCACTGTACTAAGCATCTCTTAAAGTTTTTTTTGAAGATAATATTTATGTATGTATTTATGTATTTGAGAAAGCAAGTGAGCTCAAAGAGCAGGGGAGAAGCAAAGGAGGAGGGACAAGCCAAATCTACCAAGCACAGAGAGCCCAAGCAGGGCTCGATCCCACAACCCTGAGATCATGACCTGAGGCAAAACCAAGAGTTAGATGCTCAAAAGACTGAGCCACCCCCCAGGCACTCCAGTACCTGTTAAAATTAATAAATGGAAACCTAATGTGGAGTGGGGAAGAAAGCAGCAGAGACTAGAAGGGGGAGCCAGTACCACTCAGTCAATTACAGGAAGAACTGTCTATTATAGAGCACAACAGAAAAATCTCAATAGGAGAGAATCAATGATAAGTCCCCAAAAGGAAAGATGTACACTGCAGCTCCTACAAGAAATCTGCTACCCTTGCCAACTCGGCCAATGACAATTTACCATCACCTGAACTAGTATTTTCCTCCAATAGGCTTTGCTTCAAAGCCACCCCTCCCAACTTTTTCCTTCTCCATAAAATAACCTTCGTCTCTTTTGTTGGACTTGCCTATGGTTTGGCCATAGCTCAATACCCCAAATTAATTCATTTTTGCTGGTATAATGACCTATTTTTAAGGTTAACATTATTTGGTGATTAGAAGTGGGATCCACGTGCAGCCCAGGGGGCTTAGAGGTTTAGCATTGCCCTCCGCCCAGGGCGTGATCCTGGAGACCCAGGATGGAGTCCCACATTGGGCTCCTGCATGGGAGCCTGCTTCTCCCTCTGCCTGTGTCTCTGCCTCTCGCTCTGTGTCTCTCATGAATAAATAAAATCTTAAAAAAAAAAAAAAGAGGGGATCCCTGGGTGGCTCAGTGGTTTGGCGCCTGCCTTCGGTCCAGGGTGTGATCCTGGAGTCCCGGGATCAAGTCCCACGTCGGGCTCCCTGCATGGAGCCTGCTTCTTCCTCTGCCTGTGTCTCTGCCTCTCTCTCTGTCTCTCATGAATAAATATTTTTAAAAATAAATTAAAATTAAAAATTAAAAAAAAAAAGAAGTGGGATCCACAAGGCCACCAACAGCTCCAAGGCTGGTGAGCAGATAGGTACCCATACTCACAGAGCTACCAGAGCTCACTGCCTTCTGACCAACCCTAGAATCTGAAGGTAACTTTTCTACCAGATTTTGAGCTCCACTCTATGTTTTAAGCTCTCCATGAATTATTCGTGATCTGTTTTAAAGCTTTGTCCTTTACGAGAATACTTATCTAGGCCTTTGGTCCAACTCCTGTTACAAACCAGGCTATCCCTATTGAAACTGTCCTAGCCTTTCACCCAACTTCTTGGGAACAGGGTTGTGCCTACTGGAACAGAGCTGGCTTTTGCTCTGATTCCTTTTAGAACCAGATTGTTTATACTGTTTAGAAGTTTTCTTTCTTGCTTCTAGGGGAAGAAAAAAAAAAAACCCAAAGAAATAGGATTCCAGTCATCAAATTGTTTTGAGGATGTCCCCACTTCTGGGACCCTAGCCAGTTTTCTGTTTAAAAACTGTGGTCCCTCTTTATGCACATAGTAATTTAGAACTCCAATGGCCATTACAACAGGGAACTTGCCATCTCCCCAAACTTACTCTTCTCAAATCTTAATTGCACAGCCATGGCCCTAAAATTGTCAAAACTGAATGGGATGCCTTCTGGGGGATTTAAGCTTCTGAACATTACCAGGCATCTAAAATTGCCTGTTTGCAAGATACGATTTCTAGACTACTGGACATAAACAAAAGGGGAATAGGACTTCTGAGGCCTTTTTCCTTCCTGTCATCTATGTCTCAGGATATGCAGCAGCTGTCTTGTGTTCAGGTCTGAACTTCCCCTTTCCTCTGAACCTCTCTCCCTACTCCCTCCTTTCCTGAACCTAATAAAACCTGCCCTTTTAAAGTTAAGTCTTCTGAGGATCTGAATAAACCCCAAATGTCGTATGTTCCCTGGACCAAGGGCAGACTGCGAGCCAGAGTTGAAAAGTTTCCTAATAAAGTGACTCAGAATTCACGTTTACTAAAGAGTTTAACATACTTATTCCAACTTACCATCCCAGTTTCTCAGACTCGTATCAGCCAGGCCGTGTGCTTGTCAGTGAGGACCAGGCCAAACACTGGATGAAACTAGCCCCATGAGAACATCCTAAAAGACTGAGAGAGACAAACCCCTAACTTTTGGCAAGATCCTAGAACACTCACTGGAAATCTCCACTTGGCAATTACAGTAGCTTTTCCTAATAAGCCTGTTGATTGGAACAAAATTCTGGCTTGCACACAAAAACCTAATGAACCTGGTCATTCTATTATCAACTCCAAACTGTCTTTGAAGAAGATTCTGATCTTCTTCTAAAGCCTGAATCCATCTGGGTAGCATTTAATTCTATGTTTACTAACAGGCTGAATGAACCAGGATCTTTTAGTTGAAGGGCCGGCATAGAATGGGAAAACTGTCCACTCTACATTTAGCTAGCTTGGCAAACCAGCTCACTCAAACTCTAGAAGGGGTCACCTGAAATAAAGACCACTAAAGTCTCAATTTCAAACCTGGCAAATGAAGGTCCCTCAACAGACCAAAACCTCCTGGTTTCTGCTAGTGCTGCAAAGGGTCAGGGTACTGGAAAAAAAGGCTGTTAGAAAATTAAGCATTCCAGAAGCCCTCTAGCCAGTCTTTCCAACATTCCTCCTAATCCCCAGTGACAGGGCTCCAAGGACCTACAGGGACTCTTCTCTTCCCAGTTCTCCCTCTTAATCAGCTCTGCTCAGAGAAACCACTCTCCAGACTGAGAATCAATCTCTTTGTCTTACTGACCCCAGAGCTACATTCTTGGTGCTCAACACCACTCCTGGAAAGCAGGTCCTGCAGGCATCAGGGAATGAAAACAGCTCAAATAGTGAGGGTCTCTCCTAAACCTCAACAGGTTTCTGTCTCTGCACCTAATTCCCTTTTGTTTAGGCCTCAGAGATTCTCACCCTTCTCTCCTTGGCTTCTCCACCACATTCATTTACTGGGCCAAGATTTCTCAGAAAAGTATCATGCCAGAATTTCTCCCAAAGGAAGGAAATAAATAACTCTAGAATCAAAATCGCCAACCAGGCAAATTAAATGACCCTTCAACATCTTTTATTTGCTCCATCTCTGGTGGCACTATAGGGGAGCCTGGGGATACTGATCTTTTGTCCCTATTGGGTCAGCTACCACCCTCTTCATGGACAGATTCCTCAACTGATATTGGCAGGATTCACAGTGCACCTCCCATCAAGATTCAAACAGATCCCTCAAAACCTCTCCCCAGAACTAATAGCCTATAAATAATGAAGCTCTTTAAGGCACCAAGCCTGTAATAGGGGATCACAGGACTCAGGGTCTTATTTTCTCCTGCACTAGTCCCTGGTCGTCTATTTTACCTGTGAGAAGATCCAGTAGCCAACGATGGAGGTTGGTCAAGGACCCTGGAGCAATAAATAACATTATCCCGGGGGCCCTGTTGTTCCTAACCCCCACATACTGCCATCCATTCCCAATGAAGGCTAATTCTTCTTCACTAAAATTGTTCTATATAGTGCCCTTTCATATTCCAGATAAGGATTGCCAGTATCTTCTTGCTTTCACTTGGTAAAAACAGTAATAAACCTGGACAGTAATGTCCCAGGGTTACACAGGCAGTTCTTCTGAACTCTTTATAAACCTTAAAAGCTGATTGGAGGATAGAAAGTTTTCTGTAGGCTCTAGTTGGTTATAATATGTATATGGTTTGTTTCTCTGCTCCCTTTCTCAAATCTCTTCACAGGAGAGAGCATTCACCTGTTAGAACTTTTGGCCTTAAAAGGACCTTAGTCCTTAAAAGGACATAAAGTCTTCAAAGAAAACTTGCAGTTTGCACGAACTCAGGTTCATCTCAGGACAAGGACTACATTTCGATCCAGGTAGGTTTCATGGCATCCTCAACGTCCCCAAACCTAAAACTAAGTGTCAATTACGAAGCTTTCTCGGACTGGCTATCTACTGTCAAAATTGAGATTGCAAACTTCTCTCTTACGGCTCAACCACTATATGCTTTACTTAAAAATTACAAACCTGGGGACATCTGGGTGCTGCAGTGGTCTGCCTTTGGCTCAGGGCTTGACCCTGGGGTCCTAGGATCGAGTCCCACATCTGGCTCCCTGCTTCTCCTTTTGCCTATGTCTCTGCCTCTCTCTCAGTGTTGCTCATGAATAAACAAAATCTTTAAAAAGAAAATGAAAAACCTGACCCTGTCACTTGGAAAGATCAAGAAGACCTAAGCTTTGGAGACTTTAAAGAAAACCCTAATAAAGCCACCTGCCCTCAGATACCCTACTTATCAACTTTCCTTTTCCTCGTTGTTTGGAAAGAAAATGCCCTTGGAGTACTTGCCCAAAACTATGGGGGGGGGGGGGAC